AAACAAAGTAAATGACCTTTGTAAATTATGATTTCCACTTGATAAGTTTTCAAGCTAAACTAAAGATTTCGATAATGCAAATCCATGTTCATGACTGCGAATAACAAACTAAGTGCCTTTAATGACACTTTTCCATTTGCCGGCGAAGTCTCACTCCCCTTGAATGTTCCCTGTTCTCCAAGGTCCCGCTTGATGACGTCCTCGCTTTCCTTCAGAAGAAACTCCCCGCCGAGGGACGTCGTCCCCCTCTGCCCACCGACGTCTACCTCCAGCTGATTCGTCTGTGTAGTCTAATTTCTATTCTCTGAGGGTCGCTTCTACTCTTAGACGTGCGGTGTTGCTATGGGCTCTATTCTCTCGCCAGTCCTGGCGAACTTATTCACGGAGTTCTTTGAGTCGGAGCTTTTGCCTTCCATCTCCCTTCGTACTTCGGTTTGGCTGAGGTATGTCGACTTCTTTGCTCTCTGGCCTAATGATCTTGTTCCCGGATTTCCTGACGCAGCTAAACTATCTCTCTTCTTCCAACAGTTTCAAAGTGGAATGGGAGGTGACAGTATGGCAATGGATTTGCATCCGCCATAGACTGGTGTCAATCATCTCTTTAAGGAGCTTTTGGGTGTGGGTGTGAGTGCCCACAGGTATGGCTGGTGTGCTGGAGATCGCCGGGGAGAGCAGGGGCGGCTCACTCGTCGGCTAAGGCCTGGGTAGGCCTAGTTGCTGCTTGCTGTGTCTTGCTCGGCTGAAGGATCGTGAGTGACGAACTCGGCAGTTCCGTTCAGTTCAGTTAGATTTGCGAAGTCATGCTTCGCCCGGGCCTTTTCTCTGGAGTGGCCCGGCCTGTGTTAACTATTTCTAGTTAACTCAGATGTTTTCTTTGAACTGCATGCTTATCGCGGTGGCTGAATTGCAAGCAAGCGATCCAGCTGCCACGGGGTAAGCATGTTGCACACCCTTTTTTACCAGCCCGGCGGCTGTGGTGGGTGGTCCCTGCCTCAGAAATTGTGTGTGTACATAATTCTGCAAGTAATGTAATAGGGTGGCGTTAGGCTCGCCGCAGTGTTTGCATAACCTGGCAGTCTCATTGTCAATAATTTGCCAAGCGCATTGGTAACCTAGTCTTAGTCTGAATAGTATGACTTCGGTACCCCTTTTTGTGTTTGGAGGAAGGGCCAGTGGCTCATAGCCTGAAGCATCTGAGTACCACTTGGCTGCGAGCGATTTTGTGATGTTTTCTCTATGTGCTCTCCGGAGGACCGCACACGCTGCAGCTTTGGTACCTTGGCTTAGTCCCCTTCCGCTGGGTTTAACGATCATGGTGGATGGGGGCATACCCCTGCCCTTTTCGGCTAGTTTATCAGCAAGCTTGTTCCCTTGTATGCCTATGTGGCTTGGGACCCAGTTTATGATGATTCTTCTACCTTGACTAAGGATTCTTTGGGCTATGTTTAGCACTGTTGTCAAGAGGTAGATGTTATCTGGGGGCATGCTATGCTGTAATCTGTCAATAGTTGCTCTTGAGTCTGTATTTATGACGTGTCCTCCCCTCAGGGACGCGTGTGTCAATGCTTCCATGATCGCAACCGTTTCAGTCTGAAGCGTTGAGGCATTGTCAGTGACCGTAATGGATGCTGTGGTATCCTTTGTTGCAAAGCCGGCGCCTGCAGTATGGTTTATTGGATCCACGGATCCGTCTGTGTAGTATGTTATACTACCCGGCGGAGTTATTTGATCAATGACGCTTTGTGCTTGTGCCTTTAGGCTAGGCATGGAATACTGATCTTTTCTCATTGTGAGATTTAGAATGAGAATTCGATCATTTCGTTTGCCCACGGCGGGGGTTCTTTGTAATCAGGGTGAGGGGAGTCCATACCCTTGGCAAGCAATGAATCTTTTAGCTGAAAGCGCATCAAAACTCTGGCTGTGTGTGTGAGCCAGGAATTGTCCGCAAACAACTGGTAATCTTGTAGGCGTCTGAGAACTCTTTGTCTTAGATAGGAGTTTCTGGGTGCCTGCAGGACCTTGGAAAGGAACTGTGTTGCCATTAGATCAATTCTGGTGCCCATGGACGGTAAATCAGCTTCCATGAGGAGGTTGATGACCTTTGTCCACTTAGGTGCACCTAGAATTATCCTGGCTGTTTCGTTTTGTATTGTTTCCAGTTTTTCTTTTAATGTTGTACTGGAAGCAATGAGGGCGACAGATGCATAGTCAATAATAGGACGGACAATATGTACATAGAATGATCTTAGTACTTTGTGTCCTGCTCCTATGTGTCTCCCTGCCTTGACTTTCATGACTGACAGTCTTTCCTTGGTTCTGTCAAGCAGGTATTGGATCTCCTTTTTAAAAGTGAGTGTGTGTCCTATCCATATACCAAGGTATAGATAGTCCTTCACCCATTCCAGGTCCATACCCTGTAGAGTGAGTTTTTTGTTTCTGACATTAGTTCTCAGATCCATTGCTTTGGATTTTGCTGCTGATATTTTTAGACCCGTCCTACAACACTCTTCAGACACCAGGTTCAGACAACGCTGAGCTCTAGTTAGCCAGTGATTGCCAGAGGCTATGATTGCCAAGTCATCTGCATAAGAGACGATCTTGCATCCCTCTGGCAGGTGAATGTCGAGTATGTCGGACATGAGGGTATTAAACAGGGCTGGACTAAGAACCCCTCCCTGAGAAGTTCCAGTTTCAAGTGGCATGTGCTGTGAGAGGTGGCCTTGAAATCTGACATTTGCTGACCTATTTTTAAAATAGCTATCCAGGCCAAGGGTCTGCCTTTGACTCCTTTGTGGATTAGGGTCTCTTGAATGGCAAGTGGATTAGCTCTCTTTGCCTTTGGTTCAAAAGCCTTCTCCAGTCAAGGAAGACAACCACGGCGGGCGAGGTGCAGATTGTGCTTAAGAGTGTGGAAATGCTATGAGCAGTGCTCTTACCCCTTGTGAACCCGTGTAGGTGTTCATGAGGGGGACCCGTTTTCCATCGGAGCCTGTTGAGTACCATCTCAGCTGTTTTACCCAGGCAGCTGAGAAGAGAGATGGACGGGTTTGCCAGGCTCCTTTGGTTTTGGGATGGGAACTATTGTAGCTTGTTTCCAGCTCTGGGGCACCGTGGCTGTTTGCCAGGATTTGTTGATAACCTGCAAGAATGCAAGTTCTCCTGCAAGGCCTAAATGCGAAATGATGGGATGGGAGATCCCAGTGCTGACCCAGAATTGGATTTGTATGATTTTCTTAGTTCCCTAAGAGAGAACAAGGCATCCGTTTCATCAACTTCGAGTGCCTTGTCTCTTATGAGAGGGTCTTTCTGGATTTAAGTTTTGTTTTTCTCTCATCATTGGAAGCAGATTGTTGGTGCTGGTTCTGGCTGAGAACTCAAGCACCAATCTGTTAGCCTCTGATTGTGGGTCATGATGAGTGCATTTCGGGGCTTGTCGCTTGCCTGACCCGTTTCCACAACTCTGTAAGGCTGTTCTGGTGCCCAAAAGTTTGGCACCATTCCAGCTATTATTCCTGCCTTACTCTGTTGGCAGTTTCCTTGGCATCCACGACAGCTTCCCTCAACAGGGCCAGATTGTCGGGAGATCTTTGCCGTCAGAAGTTTTTTCTGCACATATTAACCCTGTGGTTGACTTGGACTTGAAAACGAAGGAAAGTGGTGAATAAGTAAGAGAGGATAGAACAGTTAGAAATGGAAATAAGTGGAAGGATAACAGAAGGGGGGCGAAACCCCTTGCATGGACCCTGTGGTTGACCTCTTTGATCTCGTCATTATATGAACTCGGCCCGGGTGCGGGAGCTTAAGTGGGTCTAAGCTGTGCCAGCCACCCGGGAATGAGGGGAGCCTGCGGTCCAATGGGCGAGCCGTGAGGTGTCCGTGGTCAACCAATCAGGTCTTGGTATGCGTCGTCGAGAAGCTGCTGATGGTGAGAGGACAGGCTGTGGACCTGGACCCAACCTGGGGGAAGTATGCTACTCTGCAGGTTGCGGGTGTCGGCTACAACAGCAAGCTCCCTTTCTTGGATACCCTGGTTCATTGCTCTGCTGACCACTCATGGACAGTGTTATGTACATACACTTCTCGCGTCATCCACTCCATGTGAAGAGAGGTGTAGCCACCTCGCTGTTCCACCGCCCCTTCCTCATCTGTGACCCTCAGTACCTGGATGGTGAGATCGATTTCCTGCGTAGGTCGTTCTTCAGACTGCGCTATCCTCGACATGTTCTTGACGTCACGTTATCTAGGGCGCGGCCTACCTTCTACCACGACTCATCTCCTGAAGGGACTCCTCATCTTCCCGACTTCACCCTGCCTAACACTCTCTCCATCACACTCTTCACCTTCTCAACTGCAGGCTTACCTTTCGCCACGTTTCCACTCTCCGTCACAACCTGGTCCACACCAAGGTCTATATAAGTACTTATAGATATGTATATAATCCATACATGCACACACACATATACACACACACATACACATACACACACACACACACACACACACACACACACACACACACACACACTATATATATATAATATATATATATATACACACACACATATATATATATATATATATATATATATATATATATATATATATATATATACAATACACACACACACACACACACACACACACTCACACTCACACACACATACACACATATGTTTACACACACGAGGGGCGCTCATTAAAGATCTCCTCTGACCTACTTCCGCTTATCCTAGGAGGGTGGAATTTTACATGCATAAATATATGCATATCTAGGTCATGTGTTGATTTTCAGTCCTTATAACAAATTTTCTTTTACAGTGGTGAAGGTGAAGTAAGGTGTGAAAATGGAACCAGGGGATAATCGAACATTGATCAGGTTTTTATACTTAAATCTGATGCCCCATCATATGACACTGGCATCGCCAGTTCATGTGTGGTCGGAGATCTGTGGAAACGGCCCCTATCCCAGGGCGACCTCAGTCTGCCATTGATGAGGACACATGCATCAGGTGGAGACTGCCAGTTTGGAAGATCGCCGTATAACTGTTCGTCATCTGGCCCAAGATGTCAAGATTAGTTTTGAGTCTGTAGATAAAATTATTTATGAGCATCTGCATATGCAAAAATTGTCTGCTCAATGGGTTCCCAGGTTTACTCACATCTTTCCAGAAGCAGGGGCGAGTCCATTTTCCCAAGGTTCTTTTAGCTATATGTCAAGAAAATCAGGATTTTTGGGCAGACTAATTATGCAGGATGAAACTTGGGCCCAGTCAAATGGAGGTATTTTGACTCCCCACAAACACAACATGTCACACCTTTAGCAGACAAGATCATGCTCACAGTCTTTTGGGACTAGCATGGAGTAGTAATGATGGATTTCCTGGCAAAACGTACAGCAGTTACCGGATATTACTCTGCTCTACTGCTACAGATATTGCGTGAGACTATCAAAATCAAGGGGAGCAGAATGTTGACCAAAGGTGTCCGCCTCCTACAAGACGACTCTTACCTTGCGTAGATGGAAGCAGTCCTTCATTCCCTTATTCTCCTGATCTTGCACCGGCTGACTTTGACAGCTTTCTGTCCATTAAGTCATTTTGAAGGGTAAATGTTTCCAAAACGATGAGGCACCGGTTTCTGAAGTAATTTCACGGCTTCAAATACAACCTGCGGATTGCAAACTTCATCGCTGAAACAGAAAATTTGTTTTGAGCTAAGGACTGGAAATCAACACATGACCTATCGAGAAGTGTATCATTATGCATGTGAAACTTCAGCCTCCTAGGAAAAGCAGAAGCGAGTCAGGGGAAATCTTAAATATATATGTATATATATATATATATATATATATATATATATATATATATATATATATATATATATGCATGTGTGTGTACGCACACGCACATACATACACACACATACATACGCACGTCCCCCCCCCAAGGGCCACTCCCTCTAATTTCCCCTTTATAACCCTTGTCGTAGCTTAAAAATGTTCCTAGAATAGCTGATTTTTTCAACATTTTCTCGGGGGGTTGCAGCGTCCCAGAAACTGTTTGTGCTCACTTCACTCGCCAGCCGCACTGCTCTCAAGAAAAAGCTGAAATGGTTTCCTGTCTCATCACCGTATACGCTAGCTCGTTCCCCTGTGAACTTGCGTAATTCCAGCGCAACCACTTGAATCAATAACGACGATTTGATTAATGCTATATTATCAGCCAAAGATGGAGACGGTGGCGTGACAGCAAGATAAGTAAACCGGTGTCAGCATTGGCTAAGAAACTATAAGAGTTGAGGCTTAGCATTACGACCAAGGAAAGGAACGTCGAATTGTTATTGCAATTGCAGTTTTTTTATATTGATTGCAAAGAAAAATTGGTTAATCCAAGGATGCCAACAAAGATGAACCCCTCGATACGTATTTGAGGCCACACCGTAGACTGCAACGACGCGATCGAGGTGGTCGTTGCGAACAAAGCAAACGTGAAATGGTGCCAGAAAGGGCGCAGAGTTCAAGCAGCGCGGTGCACCTCTCGACAGGACCTGGGAACGGCTACGCACTGCTGAGGACACGGAGGAGGATCGTCCAGAGATGCGTCATCCACCGCGACGCCAAGGAAAGGTGTGTCATGACAGAGTGGAGATTCCCAGGTGGAATTTTCTTTTTGCGGCAACTCCAGAAGTGACTTTAGTATCAAGTCTTTGGACATCAAGGCAGCTAAACATTATTTGATAAAGGGGTTGTAATAAAAAATAATAATAATAAATGTGATCGAATTATGACCTCATTAGCAATGTCATTCCCAGGATACATGTCATACATTGGTCTCACCAAGCACAATCCACCTGAGGCGGTACAGGACTTCTGTGTTGGTGAAACATGTCAGCCAAAATGTCCTCGAAGTGGATGCTGGCGTCAACAGTTAGGTATGGTTATAGCTTACCTGTTTTCCTGGTGTCCTATTTGGTTTTTGCTATGACCAGCAACATATCTTCAATACTACCATGCTTTATGCAGTAGTATACAAAAGAAAATTAATATGATTGTTTGATGGATGTGTATGGCGGGTTATCTTGTTGCCAGCAACCCGAATTTGGGTAACTTCCCATACTTGGTTATTCGGTACCCAATTTGAATCCCCATTGAAAATGCAAGCGCACCATCCGGCGTACATGTAAAGACGAGACTGGTGTGGTTGGACAATCTCATCACGAACACGCCATTCTTGCAGTAATTTAACTTATGGGGACCGTCCCTGAGAGAGGGGGGAGAGGGTTAAATTAAGATAGTTAGCGTATAGTATAGGTACATGGATGAGGAAACTACCAAACGAGTATTAACCGCCTGCTATGGCTCGTTGTCTTGCAGCCGGCGCGCGAGTCCCTCAGCACCCGGAGAGGTACGTCGCTATTGAGCGCCCAGGTACACCTATGTGGACTTTTGCTTGCGGCAATCGTGCATAAGGCATTTAATTATGACATTGCGCATAGATATGAGTTCGTGAATGTTCAAGGAACACTTTTATACCAATATCAGGAAAAAATTATATCACCGTGATTTATGACGAAATATTTTGTGAAATATATCTAAAAAAAATGTATGTTTTGTGTCCTTTTACTCATGCTTTGATGAGACTCCCTGGTAATGTTATGTTTACGTGGTAATATATACGTATATCACATACGAAGCACTAATGTTTAAAAATAGCCTTATAAGGAAGGATTGAAATATTTCCGTTACATTTCGCTCAACGGTCGGTACATCACAGCAGGGGGCAATTTGAATTGATTTGAAATTGGTAGTTACCGTTGTAAAGACCAATTCAATACGAATGTTACCTAAATGTCGGATTTTTAAACTTCGGATGTATAAGCGAGATACAGATTATTTCATGTTGAAGATGATAGTACTCAGTAATACCTGCTCTGAAATAAAAACTATATGGAATTTTGAGATCGGTTGTATGCATAGTCTTCGTCTGGCGTTCAAAAGCTATCGCATCCGTTTCGTGCGTTCCCGATAAAAATGAATATGTTTAGACGTTACCGTAAGTCTTAGGCACCATAAATTGGCAAATATCCCACAACACATAGGCGTCTGCATGATTTTATGCACTTCTTAGTAAAGATAATGGGTGCAAATGGCTAATCATAAACTTTACACTTGTTCTCCCTTGCAATCTGTTAATATTGACAATTATCAAAGAAAATGGGTATGAGAGGGATAACTAATAAATTTTATTATTTAGATATGAAAGTCAATGTAGGCCTACTAAATGATGATGCTTAATCTTTTTAACTTTATGTGCGTGCGTTCACGTACATATGATCCTCCTCGAAAATTATAAACACCCAGTGACCTCCCCCCCCCCCTGTGTGAGGCATGGGGAATATTCAGACTTTCGTAAGTTCTCGAATTCAATGTACTAAATTCATATGCTTTTGAAATTCTCAAAATTGAACAACCATGTTGTATTCATGCCAGGACTTTATAATTAGAATGATTTTGTACTAATGTTGCCATCCACAGTTCCCCATTTCTTAAAAAAAAAAAATAATAAAATAAAATGAAAAAAAAAAGGTTTTTATCTGGTTTAGATTAGTTGTCTCTATGGTAAAATGCATTTATTAAGCTTTTCACCCGAAAATATCAACTTTAATGAACAACGAAAAAAAAAAAAGTGACATACCTTTACAGAATAGCGTCCCTATTGAACATGAAAATTCCTATTGACTTGGTAATCATTGCATTGCAAAGTACACTAAATAAGCGTTTTTTTTATATATAATATCATTAGATTCAGAGAAAAATAACAGAGATAACGAACTTTGGCAAGGTGCCAAATACAAAACGCCGTAGCTCCGCCATTTTTTTATGAATCTTCGGTACTTCCCAACTCACGTAATTTTCATGCGATCCAAATGCAGTTTGTTGCTTTCACTAGAGCCTCGGCGTCCCATAGCCATGTAAAAGGCCGATTTTTGAATTTTTGCCTTAATAAAAAAATAATAATATTTTAATGCTGAAAAAAGCATTCAAAAATAGTTCTCTATGTCAAGCTGTCCCCCGCCAAAAAAAAAAGGAAATTCAAAATTCGGCCTTCTACATGGCTATAGGCTAGAGTTGATCTAACACTAGCATTTTTGGGGGAATATTCTGTAGAGAGCTCTGATAGTTGGGATGTACCGAAGACATACCAAAAAAAAAAGCGATTTTTTTCAACTTTTTTGGGGGTGCCCCTCCCAATGGGGGAGCAAAGTTAAAATTTATATATATAACGGAGCGCAATTCTTTACTCTATAGCATGCAAAAAGAATCAATCAGTTATCTCTAACCGATATTTTTTTATGATGTATAGAGTAGGGAAAGGTGGCCATTCTCAGGGACGGTCCCCTTAAGTCCGATGTAAACATTTGCTTCGTGTCAACAAATATTGTGAGAAATTGCGATTTTCATGTTGGCCACACTTCAAGTTTACCTGGATGTGACCCCAACCTGCATCATGGCTACTGTCTATCCCTGTCTACAAATTACCCTTCATCCCTGGCCTTAGCGAAAGTATTTACCATCTGCAAGCGAGATTCTCGCACATTAGTTATAAACTTTATCAGTAGCATAGATAATTATATGAGATGGAACTGTGTAGGCAGGGCAAATGTATCATGCTTTTCATGATTAGACTGGCAGTCGAACAAGGGGTATCTATTGTTGGTTGGTTTTCCTTATCATTAGCTGTTGTTGTTCAAGTTGCTTAGAAAAAGTATGTCAATATCTAATGAGGAGTATGAGATAGACATGAGCGCCCAGTCCTCGGCCCAAGGTCAAGAGCAGACAAGGTTATTCCACTCTAAGTGCGTGCAGGCGATAACATCCAAGGTCTATATCAGTACAGGTCTCGTCACTTCGGAGTTCTGCGCAGCTTTGGGTGATAAGGCCTATGACGTCACCTGGAAGGAGCTGAGAGCAAGGGGGGCGGGGGGAATTAGAGCATGGTAG